TGGCAGCAGTGGAGAAAGTAGTTTGGATTATCCAGAGCTAGGAATTTCCTTAGCAGGCTGAATGTAATGGATGAGGTCATTCAACACATACCAGAGGCTAAATAATCAACAAATTAACAGTGTTGTCCATTGGTGTGCTGGTATATGTTTAACAATCAGCTCTACAGTGTTTGATTTCTGTTTTTCATCGGGTAACTATTCCCATTGTGGTCTATTACAACTCACCAATATGATGTCACTGAATGTGAAGTTGGGAAGAGATATGCACAGTCCATTTTCATCAGCTGGCACCAGTCAGCTATAGCACGCCACTGATTGTCTCAGTCTTCAACCTTTTCAACAGTACCCATATTGTTTGTACAATATCTAATACTGTTGACCATCCCTTTCTTCATGAAATTCTACATTATTGCCTTCAATAATATATATATATATATATATATTTTTTTTTTTTTTTTTTTTTTGAGTTGGAGTCTCACTCGGTCACCCAGACTGGAGTGCAGTGGCCGCTGGGCTCCAGCGATCCTTCTGTCTCAGTTTTCCGAGTAGCCGAAATTACAGGCATGCGCTACCACGCCCAGCTGATTTTTTGATTTATTGTAGAGATGAGGTCTCGCTGCCCAGGCGGGTCTCGAACCCGCGGGCTCAGACAATCCACTCACCTCAGCCTCCCAAAGGCACGGGATTACAGGCTGAGCCACCGAGCACGGCAATATATATATTTTTTTATTTCTTTAACTCTAGGTACTAAACTTCTTTCATTTGAAATTTTCTTTCTTCTTTCTCACTTGCCTCTCTCTTCTCTTTCTTTCTTTCTTTGCTGTCTGATATTTTCTCAAGGCTTGAACTGTCACTTATATGCTAAGAACTTGCAAATATACATCTCCATTCCCAAACTTTTCTCTGAGCTCCAGACTTTCACTTCCAACTGCCTGTTGGGCAACTCTGCAAGAATGTCCTACTCATAATGCAAACTCAGCATGGGCAAAGCCATCTTGTCCCCAAATCGTCTCCTGACTTCCCTATTTCTGTTTCTCCCAGTGTCCCAGGATTAAAATCTTGACATGATATTCGATTCCCCTACTAGTCCATTTTTCCATATTCAGTTGGAAGTCCTTTTGAGTCTCCTTTGTCATTTCTCAAATCTGTTTTCATTTTTATTCCTATGGCCATCCCCATTCCAGCAGCTTTTTTATTATGGGTAATATACACAATATAAATTGCCATTTAGTCACTTTATTCTTTATTTATTTTTTGAGTCAGAGTCTCACTCTGCCGCCCAGGCTAGAATGCAGTGGCATGATAGTGGCTCATTACAGCCTTGACATTCTGGGCTCAGGCTATCCACCCACCTCAGCCTACTGAGTAGCTGGGACTACAGGCACATGCCACCATGTCTGGCTAATTTTTTAATTTTTATTTTTGTAGAGAAGAGGTCTCACTATGTTGCTTAGGCTGGTCTCAAATCCTGGTCTCAAGCAATCCTTCTGCCTTGGCCTCCCAAAATGGTCTGAGCCACTGTGCCTGGCACATTTTAACCATTTTAAAGTGCACAATTCAGTGACATTTAATGCATTCACGATGTTTGTACAACTATCACCACTGTATAGTTCCATAATATTTTCATGACCTCCAAAGGAACCCTCATACCTAATAAACATTTTCCTTTTCCCCTGATCCCTAGCAACCACTATCTGCTTTCTGTCTGTAGGGATTTGCCTTTTCTGGGTATTTCTTAGAAATGGAATCATACGACATGTAGTCCTTTGTGTATGGCATCTTTCAATTAATATATTTTTGAGGTTCATCCATGTTATAAGAATTTATCAGTACTTCCTTTTTATGGCTGAATAATATTTCATTGTACTAGTTTATCCATTCTTTCAGTTGGACTTTTTTTTTTTTTTTTTTTACAGTTTGGCTATAGTGAATAATGCTACTATGAACATTCATGTTCAAGATTTTGTTTATACAACTATTTTCAGTTCTTCTGGGTACAGGAGCTGCACCAATTTGCATTCTCACCAGTAATGGATCAGATTTCCAGTTTCTCCACATCCTTGCCAACACTTTGTTCCTTCCCATTTTTAAAAAATTATAGTTATTCTTATAGGTATAGGTAAATTGGTATCATATTGTGCTTTTAACTTGCATTTCCCTAATGACTAATGATGTTGAGCATCTTTTCACGTGTTTGTGAGCTACTTGTATATCATCTTTGGAGAAATGTCTATTTCTTTCTTTTAGTTACTTTTTGATTATGTGGCTTATATTTTGTTGTCTTAATGGCCCCTTAACCCAGGCTCCTTCAAATTATTTGTGCCTCTAATTTTTGTTTTTTCACTCAGCTGTCAGATTGAGTTTTGTTATTACGTTCTACCCCTAGCTGTCAATACCCTTCCACTGCTCTACAAATAATCCTGGTGTTCATGACCTCCACAGATCTTTCTCAACCTCTTTTGCGAGCTTTATCTCTTTCTGTTTCTACACACTTGCCTTAAGCACAACCCATCTAGTCTCTAAACATGTTTTCTGCCCCCAGAGTCTTAACTAATGCTCTTGCTCCCGCCCAAAATGTTTTTATTACCTGTAGCCATCAGTCAAATTTTTACCCATCTTGGTTAACTTCTCCCTATTTATATGCCCCCCACTTCCCATTTTCAGATTATTTTGAAACAAACTCAAGATGCAAAGTCACTTTATCTTAAATATTCCAGTATCTCTAAAAGATAAGCACCGTTAAAAAAAAATACTGTTACCACATCTAAATAATAGTTACCTAATATCATCAGATATCCAGTAGATGTTCAAATGTCCTCAACTATCTCAAGGAAATTTTGCTTTTGTGTTTGTAGTTTGTTTAAATCAGTGTCCAAATAAAGTCCAAATGTTGCAATTTGTTGATAAGATCTTAAATCTTATTTAATTCATAGTTTTCTCTCACTTTTCTCACAATTTATTTGCAAAGAAACCAAGTTGTTTTTCATGTTTCCCACAGTCTGGATTTTGCTCATTGTGTCCCTGTGGTGTCAATGAATATGTTCTTCTCTCCCCTGTATTTCCTACAAATTAGTTTAGAACTGGATGCTAAATCAGATTCAGGTTTGACTGTTTCTTGGCAAACTACTTCTTGAATGGTGCTATATAATTTCAGGAGGAAGGACATAGTCTGGTCTGTCTCTCTTGGGAATGGGATCAGTCTTTGAGGATCACTGCTAGATCCCTTAATTCATGAGGGATTGGAAAAAGTTGATATACTAATTCTATCACCCTGTCTCCATTTGCAAACTATACCAATATGCAGTGTTACCATAAGATACACAATATTGTATGTATGTGTATATGTACTTTTACAAAGAGAGAGCTCCCTTCATCCACAATTTGGTTACCCAGAGATACAAATCCTTAGAGACAGCAGAAGACATGCTTGGTTCTTTTTTTAAATCTATTTTCAAAGTAGCAAGTTGGTTTGCTGGCATCCTATATGCTAACCAATGAATTTTATTTTAATATATTATTGGCCGGGTGCGGTGGCTCACACCTACAATCCTAGCACTTTGGGAGGCCGAGGTGAGAGAATCATCTGAGCCCACAGTTCGAGACCAGACTGGGCAACTTGGTGAGTCCTCATCTCTACAATAAATAAAAAAATTAGCCGGGCGTGGTGGCGCGTGCCTGCAGTTCCAGCTACTTGGAAGGCTGAGACTGAAGGATCACCTGAGCCCAGCAGGTCGAGGCTGCAGTGGCCATGAGCCTGGATGACAGAGTGAGACTCCAGCCAAAAAAAAAATATATACATATATATATATATATACACGCACACACACATATATACATGTAAAATGAGCTCAAGCATTTAAACATATTTGATTGCTTCAAACCATTGCAACTGTTATCTTTACTGATGCCTTAATTATATCATCTTTGCCAGTGGGAACCAATTCAAGCTGCCTCTTAAGTCCTTTTGAGTTGTCTTTCATAGTTGCCTTGTTTCCCAGTAGGATGAAATGTTCTGTGCTCATGCTGTACGTTTCCTGCCTCATAGCTAAAATCACCCATTGCTTCAAGGATTCTCAGGTCCTTTTAGTAGAAAGTGGTAGAGACCACAACCTGGGCATTACCAGACTGGTCACTGTTACTAGGCCTTTTAGGTTAACAGAGCTAGATTTTGTTATTGTTGTTTTGTAGATTTAAGATACAATATTTTATTTTTTATTTTATTTTTTTGAGTTGTAGTCTTACTCTGTTCCCCAGGCTGGAGTGCAGTGGCATGCTCACGGCCACCACAGTCTTGACCTGCTGAGCTCAGATAATCCTTCCACCTCAGCCTTCCAAGTAGCTGGAACCACAGGTATGTGCCACCATGTCTGGCTAATTTTTGATTTATTATAGAGATGAGATCTCGCCATGTTGTCCAGGCTGGTCTCGAACCCCTGAGCTCAGGCAATCCTCTTGTCTTGGCCGCCCAAAGTGCTGGGATTACAGGTGTGAGCCACTGTGCCTGGCCTTGATAAAGTACTTTATGAGTTCATACTGATACTTCCAATTCAAGCCTAGAATTTACTTAACTTTATCATTCGTACACATATACTGCCTTCATGAATTTTTCCTGATCACGTTAGCCAGGAGTGATCACTCTTCCTATGAACTACACCACCACCTTAGACACTTTTTTAGTAATCAACATTTTAATCTTTGATTTATTGTTATTTGTAGATGCCTGATCCTCTCCACCAAATGGTAAGCAAGATGAGGCCAGAAGCCTTATCTTATTCTGTTAAATACAGATATAATTTCAACAGTGCTAGCATATTTCCTGACAAACACCACTTTCTGTTTGTATTCCTCAAAATATGAAATATACTATACACACACTAAAAAGATGTGACTGTTAAATAAATAAATACAAAATTAGATTTATATTCAACTTTTCAGATACAAAGTACTACAAACTCCAATTTTAGTGGCAGTTAGTTTAAAGATAGAAAAGTTGTTGGCAATAAAGTTGTTGGCAATAAGTTTTATTTAACAGATATAAAACAATTCCGAACATTTACAACTTGTATGAAGACTGGTAGCTTTTCTATTTTTTCAAATGCTGTACTAAGGGAATAGAAGAAAACTAAAGACAACATTCCAGACTATAGGTTCAAAGAAAGTTAATACGAAGAAAGCATCCTAATCAACTAAAAAACCCTGAAACCATTTTTTATTGAAGTGAAATGAATAATACTAGATTTAAAAACAGTGTGAAATCACACTTTGGTCTGTAAACATGTTTAGTTGTGTTTTTCCTTCAGATGCATACATACAAATGATTTTAAAATGCCATTTAAATGAACCATTCAAAGATATAATAAAAAAAGAGGTAGGATATGAAAATTAAAGGATTTATTTTGGTAGTTCTTCAATAATGATGCGAGACACCGAATTCCATCCTGTGGAAGCATCTCCTTTTGGGTAATCTGAACAAGTGCCCACCCAGATAGCAACATCCACTAAGCCGGCACCAATTCCTTCACAAAGTCCTTCCACTGCAAGACAAAGATGAAGGTTACAGCTTTCTTTACCAAAGAGCAAAACCTAGCTAAATTGTATTACTTTAGAAAGCTACATTATAATTCTGCTGAATGTAATGCTAAATAAAAATTCCAGTACTTGATAAACTTTTCTTTTTCTGAGTCAGTATACAAATATTTTAAAAAGAAGTATGTATAGCCATTCTATGATATGAGCTTAACAGGCGGTTTTCTTATAGGTTTCAACTATAAAACCAGAATTTGTTAAGTTACAGAAATAGCCTAAAAAGGAAAGCAACTTATTTGACGAAACAAAGAAAGCCTATATACACTTTTAAAAGCCAAGATTTTGATTTGATATGCAAGTTTTTTTTTTTTTTTTAAAGAAAGCCCTTCCCAACACTTACCTGTTAATAAGTGATACACGTCAAATAGAAAAAAGGACTTCCACAACATTAAAAGAAACTCCTGCATAATCATTATACCAGTCCTTTCATCTGGGAATCCCATTTTACACTGAATATCCTCACAGTGAAAAAACAAAAGGCAACCCCTCCACTTTTCCTCTGTATTTTTATGCTTTATAATTATGTACCTTTTCACATGTCCTCTGGACTTGCACACATTAACATAAAACTTGCATTCCATCTTACCAAGGGTCTTCGACTTAAAAAAAAAAATTCCCCCAGTGGTTATTTTAACAGGAAAAAAGTAAAGGGAGAAAAGGAGCTGTAGGTTGGCAGATTCTTTAAGAAAATAAATCCTAACATATAAGTAGTGTAGCAGATGACCTTATGTGACTGGTTAGGTTTCCTACTCTTTTTTTTCTCTCAGAGAGGGGGTCTCCCTTTGTCTCCCAGGATGGAGTGCAGTGGCACTATCATAGCTCACTGCAGCCTTGAACTCCTAAGCTCAAGTGATCCTCCCACCTCAGCCTTCCCAGTAGCTGGGACTGTAGGCATGTGCTAATTAAAATTTTCACCTGGCTAATTAAAATTTTTTTTTGTAGTCACAGAGTCTCACTATGTTTCCCAGGCTGGTCTTGAACTCCTGGGCTCAAGCAATCCTCCCACCTTGGCCTCCCAAAGTGCTGGGATTACAGGCATTAGAAACAGCACCTGGCCAGTTTCCTATTTGGTTGAGGTTACTGCATTCCAGCTGAGCCCCAGGGAAGTAGGTCTGAAGCAATCTGCTTCCATAGCTATATCAGTAAACTAGGGCAAGTCTCTCAGCATCCAGGATCTGTCTCTGGTTCAGGCCCCTTACAAAGTTGGGAGAACTAAGCAGCGGGCCTACGATCCCATTTAATATGTATTTTTAGTACCATGTCAAGTGAAAATGCCCAGAAGTACTCATGTTTCCCCAAAGTCTTGACAGCTATGGCCTAGAAACTTATTCACTTCACCCTACAGACTCAGGATGTCAGATAAGCCTGGGTCTCACATCAGCCTCATACAGTGAGAGACAAATTGTTACTTCATGGTCTTTAACACATGAAATAATGTTTGTTGAGTGAATGAACTTAAAACTTTTGCTGTGATAATATTGTATGACAGCTTGTTAAATGCAAAAAATATGTTGGATTAGGAATTCTCAACCTGTTTTCCTTCTAGATCCATGTAACAGATGACCTTCAAAGGTCTGTTAAACTCCCACGAGCATATACAAAGTTTTAAGGCATTATCTGATATGCTGACTATAAGTGTATCCTTTTCTTTGCCTCAAGAAAGAAGATCAGTGTGCAAGAGACAGTGATTTTATTATAGAAGTAACCTTTACTTCATGGTAATGCAAAAACTGTTATTAATAACAAATTACTTGTGACACTCTACCCAACTGGTCATATCAAGTGAGTGTCTGCCCCATGGTTGGGAAATGCTGTATTAAATGATTTATAAAGTATATGCATGTATATACTTTAGGTATAGGTCACAGTTCCTGGGCCTAAGGGCTTCCATTACAGCAAAACATTAACACACCTTAAAGAAAATATAGTAGAGCCGGGCTTGGTGGCTCAGCCTGTAATCCTGCGCCTTTGGGAGGCTGAGGTGAGTGGATTGCCTGAGCCCGTGGGTTCGAGACCCGCCTGGGCAGCGAGACCTCATCTCTACAATAAATCAAAAAATCAGCCGGGCGTGGTAGCGCATGCCTGTAATTCCAGCTACTCGGAAGGCTGAGGCGGAAGGATCGCCGGAGCCCAGCAGGTCGAGGCTGCAGTGGCCGGGAGTGGCCACTGCACTCCAGTCTGGGTGACAGAGTGAGACTTCAGCTCAAAAAAAAAAAAAAATAGAAAAGAAAATATAGTAGAATGTAAGTAACTTCAATCAACTCTGTCGAAACACACCTTCCAATCAATTTTTATATTTTATAATCTAGAGTCTTCTTATTTTAGAGATTGCTTCTTAGACGGAAAGCACATCTTCCTTAAGCACTTGTATTTAAGGACTTAGTGAAGAGGTTTTTTAATCTGATTGAAGAGGGCTGGGGAGCTGAGGGAATAGGGCCTTGGTTTCGGCTCTCCTGAACATGGATTTTACTACCTTGGGTAAGATTCTGTATTTCCCTGGGTTTCTCAGTATGCAAAGAGAGAGGATTAAAATATCTTCTTGATATTTCAAGGATACTGTGGGGATTTGAGGGAAAATGTGGAAGGAATGCCCTTGATTTCTTAGAAATAAATGTGCTTAGGAATAGATTAGTTTCGGGATTTAGTATCTGACTTGGAACTCTAAAGAATGTTGCTATATATACTTCTGGTTAGCAGTGTGGGAAATCTCTTCTCTTCCCTCAACCACTTTTAAGTACAGGATTAGTGAGAAATCCCTTCAAGAAATTAGGGAAATGAAGCTAGCCATATGAACACTTTCTTTTTTTCTTCTTCTTCTAAGAGAAGGCATATAAATGCAACGATATGGACACTTTCTTTCTTTTTTTTTTTTGGAGTCAGAGTCTGTTACCCAGGCTGGAGTGCAGTAGCACGATCACAGCTCACCACAGCCTTGACCTCCTAGACTCAGGCGAGCCTTCTGCTTCAGCCTGCAAGTAGCTGCGGCTACGGGCGTGTGCCACCATACTCAGCTAATTTTTTGTAGACTAGAGCTTGCTATGTTGCCCAGGCTGGTCTCGAATTACTGGGCTCAAGCAATCCTCCTTCCTCGGCCTCTCAGAGTGCTGGAATTACAGGCATGAACCACAGAACCTGGCCATAATATGTATACTTTCTGGAGCTACTGGACTTGTGCTATCATGGCATGCTACTTCCACTGTAAGTCAAGAAACCAAAATGGCCAGTAGCCAAATATTGATACGGTGTCTCTGGGGTATGAAATTAATAGGTGTTTTTTGTTTGTTTACCCTCTTTTGGGGTATTTTCTAAATTTTCTTTAATGATTTTTAAAATGGAACCAACAGGCTGGATATTGGAGCTTATGCCTGTAATCCCAGCACTTTGGGAGACTGAAGTGGGAAGATCGCTTGAGGCCAGGAATTCAGCGTGGACAACACCATGAGACCCAACTCCACAACAAATTTTAAAAATATTAGTGAGTGGCACATGCATGTAGTCCTAGCCCCTTGGGAGGCTGAGAAGGGAGGATCCCTTGAGCCCAGGAGTTTGAGGCTGCAGTGAGCTGTGATCGCACCACTACACTCCATCCTGGGTGACAGAGGGAGACTTTCTCTCTAAAATAAATAAATAAATAAAAATAAAATAGAGGCTGGGCATGGTGGCTCAAGCCTGTAATCCCAGCACAGGGAGGCCGAGGTGAGAGGATTGCCTGAGCCTACAGGTTTAAGACTAGCCTGGTCAACTTGGCGAGACCTCATCTCTACAGTAAATCAAAAAAAGAAAAAATTAGCTGGGGCAGTAGCGTGTGCCTGTAGTTCTGGTTACTTGGAAGGCTGAGGCAGAAGGATCGCCTGAACCCAACAGGTCGACGCTGGGATAGCCATGAGCATGCCATTGCACTCCAGCCTGGGTGATGGAGTGAGACTCCAACTCAAAAAAATACATAAATAAATAAAATAGAACAAACTAATAATATTTTTCTGACAGATTAAGTGGCCACTGGCTCAGATGAATGTGTTTTCTCTCATACTAGGCAGAAACAGAGAATGAAGAAACAATACAGAAATTTCCTCTTTTATAAATTCAGCAAACAGGATCTACCTTTTAAAGGACAGAGCCATCAGTCAGTCTCCCTATCAAACGAAGCTAGTGATGCTCAACCTTGGCTGAAAATTAGAATAACCAGGAAATATTCTGCAAGTCCCATTGCCTAGGCTGCACCCAGACTCATTAAATCTGACTCCCTGTAGGGATGGTACCTAGACAGTTATTATTAAAAGTTCCCAGAGTGAGCCTAACATGTAGCCAAGGTTGAGAACCGCTGCTCTGTGGCATTACTGGCTATTTTGCCATTTCATCTAACTCACTAATTTTCAATCTGGGGACACGTCAGAATCACTAGGGCATCTTTTAAAAAATACAGATGCTGGGTTCTTACCCCTAGAGATGCTGAGTTAGTTGGGGCCCAGTCATCTATATCTTTTTTAAAAGATGTACAAGTTATGGTGAAATGCTGCCCAGGCTGAGAATCATGCACTGGAAACTTGCTAGAGGTCCCTTGATAGCAGGCTAGTGACCCAACATAACAGTGGGACTCAAAACTAATCTAGTTAGATCTGAGGCACACTCTACAATGTCTCTATCTTACAAACCGGAAGAAGTGCGATGGATGTTAATTGTTGAATTCAGTTCAGGGCTTCCTTGGTCCAAATAAATGATGGCTTCAATGGGAAGAGGTCCTGAACATTCCGCTCCGTTGAATGTGAAATACCAGCGCTGACAGCATGCGTTTCTGCATTTGAGCCGAAGTGAGCCACTGAACAAAACTCTCAGAGCACTGTTCGAACGCATCTTTGTAAATGTACACTCCTATCACAAACACAGAAAGAGGGTTTAATGAACATTTTCTATTTTCATTAAAAAAAGAAACTCTGTGATTGCATGGTGAATTTTAAATTTTACTTAACTATCCTCTTCTCCAAACTGTTCTTAAAATGCTTAACTTTGATAGAGGAAGAGAAATTTTCTGCAAGATGGATAAGAGATTTTGATATGGAAATGCTAAGAAAACCTGATTATGGCTTTCTTAGAATCATTTGCCTCATTCAGGGTATCTTTCAGCCCACCCTCCCCCCCAAAAAGCTAGCCTTTAGTACTTTCTCTTTTTTTTGAGTCAGAGTCTCATTCCATCGCCACCCAGGCTGGGGTACAGTGGCATGCTCACGGACACCCCGGCGTCGATATGCTGGACTCTGGAAATTCTTCCGCCTCAGCCTTCCAAGTAGCCGGAACGACAGGTATGTGGCTAATTGTTTTGATTTATTGTAGAGACAGGGTCTCTCCAAGTTGCCCGAGCTGGTCTCGAACCCGCAGGCTCAGGCAATCCTCTCGGCCTACCAAAGTGCTGAGAGTAGAGGCTGAGCCACCGAGCCTGGCCTCCTTCAGTACTTTTGACCAAACTAATCCATGTGTTTCCTTTTTTTCATCAAAAAATATTTACTGAGTCCCAATTATGTGCTAAATGGTAGAGACACAGCAGTTAACAATACAGAATCCCTGCCCTCACAGGACTTACATTCTGGACTAGTGCTGTCCTAGGTATTCATCCTTGACTTGTTTATTTTTAAGCATCAGTAAACAGCATGAGGGTGAGTTTTTAGTCTTCATATGACACAATGATAAGGTCCAGGTTTCTTGTTTGTGTTTTTCTTAATTGGTCTTTTGTCTTAATCGGTCAATTGTCTGCCTATTTGCTCATGGTTATACAATCTTTTACTTGCAGAAAATTCCCATACCCATTCTGACCACTGCTAAAAGGAACTTTAAAACATATTAACGATTCAGGATCAATAAGGATAGCTTTTACAAAGAAGTCAGCAACTTTTGATGAACAATGATAAATAAGCAACTGGTCTATCAATGCCAGATGTTTAAATCACTAGGGAGTATTTTAACAAAATTCTCTCTCTCTCTCTTTTCTTCCAAAGCCTCACTTTGTCACCCAGGCTGGAGGGCAGTGGCTCAGGTGATCCTTCTGCCTCCGCCTTCTAAGTAGCTGGAACTACAGGCGTGTGCCACCACGCCAAGTTGATTTTTTGATTTATTGTAGGGATGAGGTCTTGCCAAATTGTCCGTGCTGGTCTCAAACCCCTGGGCTCAGACAATCCTCTCAATTCTGCCTCCCAAAGTGCTGGGATTACAGATGAGAGCCACCACGACCAGCTAACAAAATACTTTCTAAGAAATCACACAGAAACACAGAAAAGGTCACAGTCACCAAAACTCTGGAAGCTAAGTGGAAATTCTATCACACAAAAGTCAAGACAGTCTCAAACTCTTTTTTTTTTTTTTTTCAAGTTGGAGTCTCACTCTGTCGCCCAAACTGGAGTGCAGTGGCCGCTCTCGGCCACTGCAGCCTCGACCTGCTGGGCTCCGGCAGCAGGTCATAGACCAGAAAGAGCTGAGATAAGGAGCAGGGATAATACACAGAGTGTATTTCAAACCTTAAAGTTTTATGAAAATAGATTTTCTATTTGCCTGGTGGTTACAGTAGTTAAAATCCCAAAAGTAATATGTTGTGGATATAGAGTATAAAGTTAGTCAACAAGAGGAAAGAGGCTTATAAATAGTACCAACTTCTTTAACTCTAGTCCATCCCAGTAGACTTGCCAATTACTTTTAAAGCAAACACTAATCAAAGTGACTGAATCTTTATTCAAAATACATTACCAGATGGGCTATTTTGAGTAAGCATCCCCCCAAATGTTGCCAAATAACTTAGAATAGTCACTGTAGTACATCACATCTGGTCCATTTCTCTTTCCTTAAGCTTAGTGATTTTAAGCTGAATGAATATGTTGCCCAGAATGAAGACAAATACCAACAGACTTTCAGATAATTCCTACCATATGGTAATTTCTTGGAAATTTCTCTCCACCTTTAAGTGTGAAGCCAGGGCAGAATTTCCTAGACTAAATTCAAATTTGCCTTAGGGTAAGTTTGGAAAGTTGCTTACTGTCTAACACAGACATTTAAGCTCTCCTTATTTGTATACATTAAAAAAAAAAGAGTATGTTATTTTAGATACTATGGTTAAAATAACCTTTTATCTTAGAAATACCTTCATGAATTAACTCTGAAATATTATCAATTTTTTCCATTAATGTTAAGTTAAAGGTCACATACTACCTACTCCCCTACTCCTCTTTTCAAAATCTTTTGGTTAAAAAAAAAAAATCTCATTTAAAATTTTAACAAATACGAAAACCCTTAAATTTTGCTTCGATTTTAAAATGACTCAGACTTACCGCGATTTTTCCAAGATCTATGCCATAATTCAGCGAATTCCATGAGCACTGCTTGTAGTTGGGTGTCCAGGACTCCTCAAAGCTCTCCCTCAAGCATTCCCCCTTTTCTCCTTTGAATCCATCCCGACCTGGGATCCCAGGGGTACCAGGAATGCCATTGGCCCCAGGGTTTCCATCTCGACCAGGCACTCCTGCAGGTCCTTGTAAGCACATTCCATTATACTACAGAGAGAAAGGAAAGGAGAAGAAAAATCTCACCATTAAGATTCAAAGATTCCATAGGATAGGATTAGACCTGCATTGATTTTGAGCCCTTAGAATCAGAATCCCTTCATGCCACTTGCCTATGTTCAGATGACTTAATACAGAGAATTCATTTAAAAAAATTCTTTAAACTACTGTATTTCTTCCATATTTTTATTGTGCAAACTTTACAAACATACTCCAAATCCAGTACAAAATGTTTTCATTTGCTTTCTCCTTTCTACTTCTCATTATAAGCATACATAATTTTAAATATCTGTATTCATAGGTGGACATAATTTGATATTCAGCTTTTTTTCTTCTAACCCTATATCTGGTAAAGGTACTTGGATTTCACAAATATGTATACTTTTACAGTTTTATACAAACATAAAAGCGAATATTTTTGGATGCATAGTTTATTTTTACTTTTTCTACTACTAATAGTATTATAATGAAAATCTTTATCCATATAGCCTCTTTCTTCTTTTGAATTAGCTCCCTAAGATAAATTCCTAGGGACATACTTATAAAATAAAATCTTAACAGTCAATAATTATCTCATACTGGAAATATCTCTAACTTACATATGCATGTCCTTGATTTTCCTGTTTTTTTTTTTTTTTTTTTTGAGTTGGAGTCTCACTCTGTCGCCCAGACTGGAGTGCAGTGGCCACTCCCGGCCACCGCAGCCTCGACCTGCTGGGCGCCGGCAAGCCTTCCGCCTCAGCCTTCCAAGTAGCCGGAATTACAGGCATGCGCTACCACGCCCGGCTGATTTTTTTATTTATTGTAGAGATGAGGTCTCGCTGCCCAGACGGGTCTCGAACCCGCAGGCTCAGGCAATCCACTCACCTCAGCCTCCCAAAGGCGCGGGATTACAGGCTGAGCCACCAAGCCCGGCGCTTTTTTTTTTTTTTTTTAAGTTAGAGTCTCACTCTGTCACCCAGGCTGGAGTACAGGCAGGATCATGGCACACTGCAGCCGCGACCTCTCCGGCTCAGGTGTTTCTGAGTAGCTGGCACTACAGGCATGTACCACCACGCCTGCCTAATTTTTAATTTTTTTTTTTGTAGAGACAAGGTCTTTCTAAGTCAAGACCTGGCTGGTCTTGAACTCCTTGACTCAAGTAATTCTCTCGTCTCTGCCTTCCAAAGTGCTGGGATTACCGGCATGAACCAACATGTTTGGCTCGCCTTCCTTTTTTTATGTGGGAGATGTGGCACTAGGATAGCAATTCTGGCCCCCAAGGAGGAATAGGTGACTTAGTTCCAGAGGACCACCAATCCTCATGAGGGGGGCAATAATCTATCAAACCATCCGTAAGAGCTAGGATTCTTTGTGTTTCTTTGATTTGGGAAGGGTATCTTATAGAGTTTAGATGCATGGATTCTAGAGCCAGTTTCTTTGGATTTTATCCTAGCTCCACCCTTTATTAGCTCTGTGAGATAGGACAAGTTATTCAACATTTCACTGCCTGTTTCTTTATCAATAAAATGGGGATAATGAGGATTCTTACCTTGTAGGCTTTGTACGAGATTTAAGTGATAATATACAAAGTGTGCTTAGAATAATGTCTGGAACACAATAAACACTGCATGTGTTAGCCACTATTATTCTTAAGATTCTTCCAAGGCCAGTGTGAGGCAGTGACTCAGGGCAAGTGTGTCCACTGCTTTGGGTGAAACTTAGAGTCTAAACCTGGGGCTAGTACATATAAGTCATATATCCATTGCCCTCTGATCTGTGGTAAACATGGTTTTTTTGAGCTCCATTTGCCCAATTCCTGTGTCTACTCCGGAACTGGTATAGCTGGGAGCAAGAGTGCCGTGTATTAGACACTCCAACTCCCAACACAATTCACTTAAATGTTTACTATAACATTTCCCTGTTTGGGTAAATTGCCCAGTATTATCATTCTGTATGAATACAGTAAGAACAAAAAATAAGGTTCCTTACATGTTAAAATAATTTCAAAGCTTATCTTTGACTTCACTATCTAGGATTAGACATGATCAGATTATAAAATCCCATAATAATAGTCTAGGAAAGAGCTTATGTAATTAGACTGCTTGCCAATCAATTGCTTCTTAATCACTAGTTTGTTCTGTTTTGACAAATAATTTTTTATGACTGACACTGCCATTTCCCTGTCTGTAAGAAAAAAAAGACACTACTCTTTATTTACTATCATAAAAATAGTAACAAAAGTATTTAACAATTGCAAAAGTATCCAAAGACATGCTAAAGTACAAAATATTTTAAAACAGTTTGGTATATTTTACACTTAATTTTCATTTTAGTAATATTATTCACTATCACTAGCAGATGTATGCAACGTTTAGACATCTCTTTCAAGTGGGAATTACATTGCTTCTGGGGGGACCAACTATGTTGGCTCACGCCTGTAATCCCAGCATTTTGGGAGGCTAAGGCAGGATTGCTTGAGGTCATGAGTTCAAGACCAGCCTGGGCAACATAGTAAGACCTCCTTCTTTACAAAAAAAAAATGTAGCCAGGCGTGGTGGCACATGCCTGTATTACTAGCTGCTTGGGAGGCTTAGGTGAGAGGATTCCTTGAATCCAGGAGTTCGAGGCTGTAGTGAGCAATGATCACACTACTGCACTCCACGCCAGCCTGGAATACAGAGTGAGACTCTGTATATATATAAAAAAAAAGACTGCTTCTGCTTCTGATAGTCTTTGATTTTTTTTCACTATTATTCCTTACAAGACAAGATGCTACATAGACTAAGTTTTATCTTCCTTACATATCAGTGGTTGTCAACTGGGAACAATTTTCTTTCCTAGGGGACATTTGGCAATATCTGTAGGCATTTTCGGTTGTCACAATTTGGAAGGGAGAATTGTTACTGGCATCTAGCGGGTAGAAACCGGGAATACTGCTAAATATGCTACAATGGGCAGGACAGTCCCCACAACAAATAATTATCTCAATAGTGCCATGATCTCAAATCTCAATAGTGCCACGGTTGAGAATTTTTATTCGTATTTTCATTTAAGAGCTGTATTTAAGAGACCACATAACTTGCTAGATTCAGTTCCACAGGTGTTACATCTGTCTTCTTCCACTTTAAAATGCTAACCCAACACATGTTTAGAACCCTCAATAAATGTCTGTGGAATGAACAAAAATGTGAATGGAAGCTTAACTTTTCTACTTTCTTGTTTCTTTCACCGGCCACCAGGGGGCAGAGCGCAGTGGGAGCTTGAAAGGGACGCTTTGAAAGATCCTATACAAAGAAGTGGCTTTATGGAATCTGTTGAAACCTTCTTAATGACTATGTGGACTTTTTCTGTCAGCAAAACCAAATCCAATCTACAGGATGCACCTGAGCCTGGCTGCAAAATAAGTTTTCCAAGTCTGGCTAGAGCTGTGGGAAACCACAGGTACTGTAAATCCTTGGAGGGGAAAAACTGCTAGGTTGATGGAGAAAAGGTATTTTTGTGTACCATAACTACACATTCATAAAAATGCAAACTGTACACGAATCACACTCATCTGGTACAGTTTTACCCATTTTGATACTTAGAACTGTAACCCTTCTTTGTGGAGCAAGATTATACAGCATATCACCAAAAAGTGCTGTGTAAAACGGGAGGAATTTGTTTCCAGCGCTCTTGAATCCAGCATAGAACTAGCTGCCAGGAACTTGGTTGAATAGCTCGGTTTAGAATGGCAGCTTAACAAAACCCGAAACTTTTTTAAAATCAAAAAATGACCCCTGTCTTATATCCTGCAATGTTTGTAAACCATCTTTGTCTACAAGTTAGATGGGTCTAGGGATCGAAGTCTATGGTGCGCCAGGGACTAGGTGAGCTTCCTCTTGCCACTGGCTGAAAACCTCTCCACCCTCCACTGGGTTTGTTGACTTTTGGATGTAAAGAGTTTTAAGCAAACAGACCTTCCCAGAGATTACCCCCTCAGAAAGCATTGGGGCTCTTTATTTATTCTCCTGGAACAGCCTGACTGCGATGCTCCTAACTGGTGGTGCCCCAGGCTGAAGACCCAGGGTGTCTGTAAGGACTGTCTGTCCCTTCGGTCTAAACAGAACAAGCAAAACGGGTCCTTGGAGGGTTACCACCGAGCCCCTTCGTTTCCCCTTCCAGCCTTGAACCCTCTGAACCACTCCAGGCCGCAGCTGTGGTCGTCCAACAAAGTAAATTGCAGCCCATACTCCCTAGGAAGATGACCCGACGTGACTCACAGTCTTCAAGTTACAAAGAGCTGGACCGAGGCTTGGTGGGGGTTGTTATTCTCTCCTGCAAGCGGACGTGGCCACCAGCCCCGACAAAGGACACGTAGCACCGCCCTGGCCCAGGCCCAGGCCCAGGGGATCAGCGAGGCCAGGGTCCTTCCCAGGCCCGCTTCCGGCCCACCCGCGCTCCTCAGTCTGCTCTCCCGCCGCCCTAGACCTCCCACCCGCTCCAAGGGGTCCCCCTGACACATCACCGGGCGACTCCCTGTACTTCGGGGAGTCCCATCGGACGCACATGGACTCTCCACGACGCGCTCCCCCTGCGGTCGCCCGCCGAGTTCCCAGCCCACGGCACGCACAGCCCTCCCTTGG